AGAGGCCTCCACAACTCTTGAAAAAACATCCACCACCCCTGAAGCAGTAACATCAACCACAACAACAGAGCCCTCCACAACAACTTCTGCTGAAACATCTACCACTGCTGAAGAAACATCTAATACGACAACAGAGGCCTCCACAACTCTTGAGGAAACATTCACCACGACTGAAGCAGTAACATCAACCACAACAACAGAGGCCTCCACAACTTCTGCTGATACATCTACCACTGCTGAAGAAACGTCTACTACGACAACAGAGGCCTCCACAACAACTTCTGCTGAAACATCTACCACTGCTGAAGAAACATCTACTACGAGAACAGAGGCCTCCACAACTTTTGAAGAAACACGCACCACCACTGAAGCAGTAACATCAACCACAACACCAGAGGCCTCCACAACTTCTACTGAAACATCCACAACTGCTGCAGAAGAAACATCTACCACAACAACAGTGGCCTCTACAACTCTTGAGGAAACATCCACCACCACTGAAGCAGTATTATCAACCACAACAACAGAGCCCTCCACAACAACTTCTGCTGAAACATCTACCACTGCTGAAGAAACGTCTACTACGACAACAGAGGCCTCCACAACAACATCTGCTGAAACATCTTCAACTGCTGCAGAAGAAACATCTACCACAACAACAGTGGCCTCTACAACTCTTGAGGAAACATCCACCACCACTGAAGCAGTAACATCAACCACAACAACAGAGCCCTCCACAACAACTTCGGCTGAAACATCTACAACTGCTGCAGAAGAAACATCTACCACAACAACAGTGGCCTCCACAAGTCCTGAGGAAACATCCACCACCACTGAAGCAGTAACATCAACCACAACAACAGAGGCCTCCACAACTCCTGAGGAAAAATCCACAACCACTGAAGCAGAAACATCAACAACAACAACAGAGGCCTCCACAACAACTTCTGCTGAAACATCTAAAACTGCTGCAGAAGAAACATCTACCACAACAACAGTGGCCT